TAAATCCTAAACCCTAACCTAAGCCCTTACCCTGGGAGTGTGATTGTCAGTTTAAAACAGAAGCTAAACGGTCCAAAGTGGTCTGACTGTGCTGCTCCTCATATACCTCCGCCTGCTTGATATAGGGTGTGAATACAGAGCGTAGCCGTATCCCTATAGAGTCCCTGTAGAATTTCATTGTGCGCGACTCGGACCCCACGCAAGTTATTCTAAGTTTCAAGTCCCCTATACACACACACAAAGAAAAAACAGCCACATGTCAAAACGGCTTCCGTAAATTGTTTCGGCTTCTCTATCACCCAGACCCTAGCATTTTTGAACAGTCCTGCTTTCCTAAAGCAGTAAGTATGTTTGGTTAGGCACCCACTCAGTAGCAGTGAAGGAAAAGGGAACTATAGAGTAGCTAGTAGCTACACACAGACAGTAGAGACCCTATCCTAACCTATACCTCTTCAAGATTTTTGCACGGCAGCCCAAAAACGAAGTCCTACCGTCATGCCATTGAGTTACGGGGTATGTCACGAAAATGAACACATAAGGACGCTAAGGGCAACTTATTGCTCCATTCTGAGCAGTACCCTACCCGCCCCTTCGCCCTTGATTTGGGGAACATGTCGTTAATCCCAAAGGTGGAACCCTATTCCTGAACTAAGTGGTTTTGGGCTCACCCCAAGCCTTAAACCCTAAACCCTAAACCCCTAAACCCTAAACCCGAAACCCTAAACCCTAAACCCCTAAACCCTAAACCCTAAACCGTAAAAAAACTAAGCCCAGTTGACCGAGTTTTGGTGCCTTTTTTGGCTCAAGCGAGACGTGGTCTATTGTATGGTCTTTTCTTCCCCCATGCTCCCAACCCCAACCTACATCCAATTAGCCAAACTCCAGCTTAAACCCCACAAAGCTCGACAAAAGCACTACAAGAGCCCCCAAACCCAAAACCTTAGCCCCTAAACCCCTAAACCCGAAACCCTGAACCCCTACACGCCGAAGAAGCCCTTAAAGCGCCTCTGAACGGTGACTGCGCGACTGTTTTTTTAAAGCGCTCGCAGTCATGGCCCCGACTTCGGCCGCTGGGGCGTTGTTTAAGGGCCGTTGTTCAATGAGTAGGGTTGAGGGTTGGGGGTTTATGGCCAAGTTTAGGGTTGAGGGAGGGTTTAGGGGTTTAGGGTTCAGGGTTTAGGCTTTAGGTTGGTGTTTCAGGGTGCAAAACTCACGTATCATGTAGCGGTTTATCAGGCTGTCCTGGCCAGGGTTGAATCTTGGTACCAGTCCATGGTAAAATAAGGAAAAGATCACCCCATTAAGGGCCATAGTATACCAAATCCCCAAACCCCAGACCACAAACGACCGTTGCTGTAAAAGGTCTGTTGAGCTAAGTTGAAAGCATGTTCCTTAAGTCCCCTTCGATGGCTTCAGCTAAATCTGAAACGTCAAAGGCTAGGGTGTCAGGGGGATCAGCAAGAGGACCCAGATGCCTCCGAGCTTTGCGAAGGGTTCCCTTAAGGTTCAGGGTTTAGGATTTATGGTTGAAGGTTCCTGCAAGGTTTCTTTAACGGTTCTGTAAGTGTTTTAGGTGTTGGACTCTGCGAGTTCGGGGGACTAGGATTTTCGGGTTTGGGGTTTCAGGTTGAGGGTGGCAGGGTTTAGTAAAGGCTTCCCCGACCTGGGTGACGTATAGCTGAGTCATATTTATAGCATGAATGACAAAACATATACCGGCCCCAAACTAAACTTTAAACCCCTAAACCCGAAATCTAGCCTCAAGTCCTCGACCTGACGAGAATGATGCAGCGATCAAAGTCACTGCTCAAAAAACCGACGCTGCGTCCTTATCAAACAAAAAGCCGAACTTTGTTCGTGAGGAATGATGTTGAATTTTCTGCCATATAGAAACCCATTGGTGAAATTGCAGCAAGCGTGTGTGTTCTCGGCCTAAGGCGCATACTTTTTGAGAAGGACTCAACCACAGGCCAAGCAACCCACCGAAGAGCCCTAAATCCTAGATTCTTCAAGCTCTAAGCCCTCGAAACCCTATAAACGCACAAGCCAAAATCCCTAAACCCTCAACTCGCAGCCGCAAAGCAAGCCACCGAAGAAGACCTAAACCTTTCAACCCTAAACCTTGGGTACGGCCCCCACTCAGTAACAGTTGGATAATATTCATAAGATGGATATATAAGGCCCTTAATAGTAGCCCTATTATAGACTCTTACTGTATGAGGGCCGTACCCGACCTAAACCCTACACCCTAGCAAGCCGCCGAAACACCAGAAAGGTCCGGGGTGTTTTCCCACCTGAGCTGGAGCGAGCCTTGCTTGAGCCAAGGATCTAAGGTGTAGGCCTAGGGGCCTTTATGATTCGACCAGGGTTTAGGTTTAGGGTTTAGGGTTTACGGTTTAGGGATGTAACCTAAGGCCATAACCCTAAACCCTTAAACCGTGGTTTAGAGCTATTATACAGAGGAGGCCCGAGGAAGGCTTTCCAAGTGTGAAGCTGTAAGCCGTTCGACATGTGTTTGGCTGGGTGAACTAAAATTGTGTTAAAGCTCTGCGAAGTTGCTTTCATGTCTTGTGGCTGATGATGGTTTGCATGATATGATTTCTGTAGGTCTGGCAAGGCAAGTCATTGATCCTCGGGTTGTGTCTTAGAAGGTAGTCTAAGGATTCTCTAATGCTGTGTTGCAGGGCAGCTCAACTTTCCAAGCCGGGATGTCCGAAGCCCTGAACCTTTTCTTTGGGGTTTGGGGTGTAGTAGGGTTTGGGTTTTAGGGGGGTAGTCTTAACTTCTGCCAATCAGCCTGGAGCCAGAAAATCCTGAACCCAACACCCCATAGTGGCCCTCAATCAAGGAAGATACCATAAACCATTTAGGCGTGCGTGTCGTCACTTAAGATGAATGTATTCCTCTCTATCCTCCTAAACCATAAGCCCAAGACCGCAAAATGCGTCAGCCGGAACCATGTGGCAACTCGACTTTGCAAGCTGTAGTGGAGTGACCTGTCCCCCCTAATGCTTCCTGCCGCCTCTTAGAATGGCTTCCAAGCCTGCAGCAGCTGCCCATATCATTCATGGAAACAAACAAAAACAACTCCTCATCTCGTGTCTGCAGTCATCATTGCAGAGGAGATGCTGGCGCTGGCAATGCATAGTCTATATATATATATATATACACATACACACACACACACCTATATAATAGCGAACCCAAGAAACTTGGAGCATGGGGACGATCGGCTTTATCGCATGTTTCAGTCGTCTGGTTCCTGAACCCTTAGACCCGACATCCGACCCTGGTTTAGGGTTTAGGGTTTATGGTTTGGGGTTTAGGGTTTGGGGCTCAGGGTTTAGGGTTTAGGGTTTAGGGCCTGTTCTCAACCTCAGCAAAGACGCCTATTGTAAACCCCACGAATCCGATCCAAGGTTGCCTACGTCCCGTTTCAGCCAACGCAGAGGAGGATGTTAAGGGTTGTTTACCTCTGGGCTTCCGTATACAATATTGATTGTTTGTTTCCGGAAGTGCTGGAGTTCGGAATAATTTGTGAGTAGTATTCCCTTGTGCAGTCGTGCTATAATCTCTGTACAGAAGCCCCGAACCCTGATCTAGGACCCTACATTAGACTCGGGCTTATAGTCCCTTTTATACTTGCTTTACAGCCGCCAACAGCCCGCATTCTCATTATACACAAAGACCCCCAACTCGGAGTCAGGAATAAGGGGCTTAGGCCTTCCTATCCCGGGAAAGCCGGTGGTGGGGGGGTGGGGGCTGAGTGAGTAGCTGTTTTGTGGACTTATCAGTATCATAACCCCCGTTAGGATCTCTTCCAGGGTAGTTCTCAGTCTAGTTATTACCTATACTTCCTACGTCGTCCTGTTGATGATATAAATCCTGCTTTACCTAAAGGACCCTAAACCGTGGGAACTATGGTATAGTCCCCATTATGGGTAATGCAGGATTTATATCATCAGCCGTCCGACACTCCAAGTTTGAAGCTCAGGGAGGCACTCACACACTGAACTGTCGGGTGCCGGGCGTTGGGTTTGGAGTTGAGGGGCATGGGGCCTCGTTGTCTCAGGCTTCGGGAACCCTAGCGAACCTAACCCTAAACCTGTACTGCGGGTTCAAGCATTTTTAGGGTTTAGGGGTTTGGGGTCTAGGGTTTAGCAAAAAGAAAACTGTACTAAACCTTCATAGGTCGGTGCCTTGTATTCTGGAGTCCGGGTGCAGCAGTCGCAGCACGGACAAATTTCCGGCTTATGGGTTCAGGGTTTAGATTTAGGGTTTAGGGTTTAGGGCCGGTTTCGGGCTTGATGATGTAGAAAAGGCACACAGAGGTCTCGACAGCATCGATGCGGAACATTGTGTTTCTATCACAATCGAAGCAGCCAGACCATCCATACGCAAACATTTTGAGAACGCCGCGCACTCGTAGTTCCATGGTGTGTTTCAAAGCATTGCAAACACCGCAGCAGCATCAACACAAACACAAGTAGTCCCTACCTGTGCTTGACACCGTGTAGTCTGGCTTTCATTGGAGCCTTTTGTCCAGAATGGTACGAGAATCAGCAAAACACTTGAATTCGCGCTGGATCTGGAGTAAATTTTGCCACTACTCCATCGTGATTATTGTGATGAAACCGATGGTACCTCCCAAACGAGTGGCGGCACGAGTGCCAATCCTCACAGCAATCACCAATGGAAACTGTCAGGTATGATGAATGTATGAAGAGCATAGATGACAAGACCAACAGCACCAACGACAGCAACAACAGCGACAGCACGATTCCGAAATAGCACTAACAGCAACACGGAAGTTGTGGAAAACAAGAGTTAGAGGATTTGGGACTTTGGTTTCACGGCTTTCGGGTTTAGGGCAGTTTGGCAAGCTTCAATGCTCGGAGTGCAGTTATTGGGCTGTCCTAAACCTGGTACGCGATTTCGGGTTCAAGCACCCCGGGCGCCCCTTTGGATTGCACAAGGCTTATCCGATTCGTTGCACAGCCATGGCGTTCTCGCGCACAACTGTTGCAGTTCTGTCCCAGCTGCTTCTTGCGACTTGGGCTGCACGGCAGAAGGCGGGGGTTTAGGGCGCGGAGCTTTGGGACGGGTGATGTCGGTGAGGTTTCAGGGTTAACCTCTCGCAGACTGGTAGAGATGACGTGACTTATCACCATATGTCAGGATCCCTCACGCCTTCACAACGACGACTGCCACTCAAACGACAGTGCTATTGTTGCCTCCTGCCGCTGCCACCGTCAAAACTAACTTCACCACTACCAACACCAACACCAACCACGACGACGAGAACCGTCACTTGCAAGCACTGTAAACGATACTGCCACTGTGAGTAGTACCATTGCTCCAACTGCTGCTACCACTTTCATCCCCCTTTTTCATAGTAGCTAGCTGTAACTAGCACTCAAAACAGTCATCGTGGAAGCATAGTGGCGCAAAACGTTCTAGTGCCCCTCACAGCGATAGCAGTAGGTCGAGGTTCCATCGCAGCAGTCGTCGTAAACCCTGAACCCTAAACCCTAAACCCTAAGTAGTAGCTATACAGAATCTAGAGTCCTGTCGCAGCGGGGCACTGGGACATTGAAGCCGCAAAGGTGAAATGTCGGTGCCTAAATGATTGCAGTACCTTAAGGACCTAAACCTATGGAAATTATGGTACATTCCTAATTATCGGTAATGCAGGATGTACATCATCAACCGGAGAAGTCGTAGTAGTTGCCCAACAGCCTTGACGCTCCCCTAAACCCTAAAACCTAAAACCTAAACCCTAAGCCCTAAACCCTGAAGCCTCAAAGCCCTGAACCTCCGAGCAGGCGTATGACGCCCTAAACCCTGTCTCCGACCCAGCTCTCTCCCGAAGCCTAAACCCCCAAACCCCTAGTTTAAACCCTAAACCCCTAAACCCCTAAACTCCTAAACCCTAAGTTAAACCCTAAGCCCCTAAAGCCCCAAACCCAAAACCTCTAAACCCTACAGCCCAAACCCCTAAATTCCAAGCCTTCGCAGTACTGAGGCAAGAGCTTTCGACCAGGCCATCGTCAGCAGCTTCGCTCCGTACCCGGGTTATGGAGGAGCCCTGAAACCTTAGGGGTAATTAGAAATGATTTTTAATTTTTGGTGATTATAATCCCTAAGAAACAGCTGGAACTATGCTTTTTGCTAGGGTTGTAAGTGCAGTACAGAACTTACATGGGCTTTTCCGAAAATTAGGGGTATCTTATTCTGGGGTCCTTGTAATAAGGATACTACTGATTAGGGCACTACATTAGGGTCCCTTTTTATCGGAAACCACCACGTCGTCACTGGGAGAACTTTCAACATTTAGGATTTAAGCTGTAGGACTTTTGGTCCAACCTATAAAGCTGAAGCTTTTTTGGGTCTCGGTTATTGAAGAAAAGTAAGAGTACATCCAGGGAATCCAACACCCGTTCACGGATCGTTGAGGATTCCTCAAGGGCTCTATGTTGAAGTTGTACAGGGTTGTAGGGTTTGGGGTTGCCCACCCGTTACTAGGGAATTACAGTAGAAGCCTAGAAGTTAGAAGCCCTATAGCTTCAATCCTTAAGAATAATGTATAGGGAATCCCAGCACTATTTGGCCTTAATCCGGTTTCCGACTTTATGGGACTTACTGTAGACCCCTAAACCCTATGCCCTAAACCCTAAGCCCTAAACCCTATACCCTAAACCCTATACCCTAAACCTTAAGCTCCTTAGATCTTGCTAGGGTACAGAATTAAGTTATCGTGAACCCAGAAGCATGGACTTGGGATGATCAGTGCTGTGATACCCTACCCATACCCTGAACCTTGTTAGGGCTCCTTGTTATGGTTTTCTTATACATGTTAGTACAAAAGCTGAAAAAGGTTGGCTATTCGGGGTTAAGGTACCCAGAGAGCCCAATACCCCTTAATTAAGGAATATAGCTTGCATCATAATATTAAGCCCGTCATAATTTAAGGTATATTCCGAACATACGGGGTATTGGGCTCTCTGGGTATAGTCTACCTGGAGGGCATCAAGCTTCTACTGTGGGTTTTCATTAACTGAGGTGGGGTGTCGGGGAGTGTCTGCAGATAGAGAATGGATCATTGAGTTTGACATGATAATCTGGGTCCCTAAACCCTAAACTCTAACGGCCTTAGGTTTGAGAGGCTTAATTTGGACTGGTGGTTGGTGTCGGTTTCATGTTTGGGTAAACCCTAGACACTAAACCCTAAACCCCTAAACTTACGAAGTCGGCTCCAAGTGGAACCTATTCTGAAACTACCCTAAACCCTTAAAGGAAACTAACCTTAAGTGAACCCTCCACCCTACAACCTACACCCTAAGTGGTGGTGCAAGAGGTAATCGAAACGTTGGCGCAGCAGGCGGCCCAAGCCGTCGACCAAGCCGTCGAAGCCGTCGGCCAAGCCCTCCAAGTCTTTGTCAGGGTCGATGGCTCGGTGGACTTGGGCGAAGGTGGAAACGGAACGCCTGCGGACCCACGTCGAGGGCCGCCGCTGCTGCTGAGCCGTGTTCTGCTGACCCGCGAGGGCTCTGGTAGAGCCAACCCGTGGCTCCTTGGCACAAGGCAAGAATGCCGTCACCCGCTGCTACTTGCCACACGAACCGACCCGGGCAGAAGGCAACAGCCGATGCTGGTGCCCTAAACCCTAAACCTCAAAGCCCTAATGAGCCACTGCTAGCTTTAGCCGATGTAGCAACGATCCACTGAGAAGCCCCTGCTTTTTTCGCTACTACGGCGTTCTTTGGGACACCCCAAACCACAGACCCTAGACCCTACTTGGAGGGTCAGGGGACTTAGTAAGTAGGCAATAAGTAGACTTGTAAGTGCCATAAAAGGGATCCTAATAGGTTAATAGGGGTTATGGTCCTTATTAGTCTCTGAACAAACTAGTTACTAAGTCCCCTGACCCTCCAAGTAAAGCCTATTCTTCAGAGGAGAATTTGGAGAACCCAGATCCAGTTATTTGGGATACCCCAAACTGCAAACCCTAAATCGTATCCTTCGGAGGAGATGTAGAGAACCCGGATCGCGTCATTTTGGTGTTTCGGGGGTCCCCCAAACTGCGAACCCTAAGCTCCACTGTCCAGAAGAGACCTAGAGAACCTGGGGGACCACTTATTCGGGCGTCTTTTGGGATGCCCCCAACCACCAGCCCTAAACTATCCTAAACTCCCTAAATTCCATAAACCCCAAACTCTGCTGTTCATAAGAGATTTAGAGAGCCCGGAGTTAGTCGAGAGTTTCAGGAGACTTGGCCGTAGAGGGCGTCATGTCGGTCATCTCCACCAACGACACCCAAACCCTGCCTCTTTGGCCGCCTTAGGGTCTAGGGTGGTATCGAGAAGCGTTGCTAACAGTTTGTTTATCAATATCTCTTTCTCCCTGCAGCTCGGTTGGTAGCTGCTAACATACTCAGCTCGTTGTTGCGTAGGCGTACTTAGAAAACTTTTTGCTTTTTTGGTTATTATATTCCCTAACAAACAGCTAAAACTACAATTTTGCTAGGGTTCTAAGTTCAGTACAGTCGTTGTTAGTGCACGTGAACCTCCCCACTGCCCATTTGAACCCAAGCCCGGCTGTCTAGGGTTTAGGGTTTACAGGTACAGCCACTTGGGCTCAACATCCCCCACCCGTCTAGACTAGTAGCAAGAGAGTTGAATGATTATAGTAGGGTTACTATCAAAGCAACATGCCTAGAGCAAAATCAACAGCCAGGAGAAGAAAAAGCCACATCGCAGCATCATCTGACAACAACACAACCGTGTACGCATGGCAATCAACAGTAAGGACACCAAAATAAGGTACCCCCCCTAATTTTCGGAAACTCCCACATACTGCTGATGGACAGTACCCTCTATGACCCCCAATAAGATCATACCGTACTTCCCAAAGTACAAGGCACAATTCTAAACCCGCGACCCCAAGCCCACGGCCCTGAACATTAGAGTCACTAAAGTCTTGACTATAGCAGTCTAAACCAAGGACCCAAAAAGCACATAAGCATAAGCATTTTAAAGGGATATCCCTACTTTAATGGGCTTCATGACAAAGCGGGTTTATATGGGATATCCCTATCCTAATTTTGCTTATGTGCGTTTTGGGGGCCTTACTAAATAAGTACTAGTATCGTTCCTTAGTGGTTTATATCTATACTATGCTGTACCCCAATAACTCTATTCTATTTATGAAAGCCCGGACATTACCCTAAACCCTAAACTCTGAACCCTAAACCGATAAACCATAAACCCCTAAACCGTAAACCGCTAAACCCTAAGCCCTAAACCCCACACCTCACGGGCTGCTCCCCACCAACAGAGCGAATCCTCTTTGTTGGAGGGTCGGGGGACTTGGTAAGTAGCTCTTTTACCAGGGCTTCAGGGCTTTGAGTTTAGGATTGAGGGTTTAGGGTATAGACTAAGTACAAGTATCACCCCAATCAGGATCCACTTAGGAATACCTATTATGAGTCCACTTATTACCTACTTGCTAGGTCAGCCGACACGCCTAGCTGTGGGCGCAAACCAGGTCTTGGATGCTCTCTGGTGGGGACCCTCGCTGTAACGAGACCTGCACCGCGGCGAACTGCTGCTCGGCTGTAGATGTAGAGTTTCGGGTTTAGCGGGCTTCAGACTTTAGTACAGCGTATACTCTCTCCCCATAGGAGCCTGTGCGGAAGGTTTGTTGGATCATTAACTGGAGTGAGTTTTCATGGAATACAAGCTCAAACTACGAACTGAACTACAAGCCCGAACCCCTAAACACGCCGACAAAACCTGGCCCCGAGGGAACCCCCGAGAGGATCTTCAGAGGACCCTGGTGAAGTGCCTCCGGCACAAACCGCACGGGTTCTCTGGGCGGTGCATCCTCGAAGGATATCTCGAGGTGTCGGAGCTCCTATTATATGGGAGTTTGTCCAAATTACGGTCCCCTTTTGGGTCCCTAATTTATGGTACGATACCTATTATTTAGGGTACCCAAAAAGGGTCCTTAATTTTGACAACCACGACTGGCTACTTCGCCGGCCCTGTGCTTCAGGATCGGCTTGCTGCTGTGCCTGCAACCCCTTACGTACACCACCCCTTCCTCCAACCAGGAATTCCCCCGCTGGCCTCAAAGGCTGCACCTGCAGTCTTGTAGAATCCTTCAAGAACGCCTCATGGAACACGTTAAGCCCAATAGTAGATACTCAGCCTTTTCTTACTCCACCGAGGCTGTGGCGTTCACATCCATGTGGGCAAGACCTGTTCGGTTGCCAGCGACGTCCTAGGCGACCTCTTAGGGTCTGTTAGGTTTAGTGTTTTAGGGGTTCAGGGATTTAGGACTTCAGGGGTTAAGCGTTTAGGGTTCAGGGTTCAGGTGTTTAGGGGTCTGGGGGTTTAGGGGTTAAGGGTTTAGGGTTAGATAAGGCTTATTTTAGGGTTCCATACGGATTCTGCCAGGTAGCTAGGCAAGGTTTAGGCTTGGTGGGAGGCATACCAGTTTCGTGGAGGTTCTGCATGTTCCCTCGTGTTCAGACATGTTGCTTGCGGTATTGGGTTGCACGAGGTCTTCATGTGTCCGCGTCCCGCATTCCCAGCCCTGACGCGAAAGCTTGGGCACGCTCCTTCCCTCCCCTTCAGGCCCCTATTTTCCTCTTCAAAGCCCATATGAAGGAGAACCCGTGTCGCTCGACAGGCGTGCACCAGCTTGAAATTCGTGAAGCATCTTCATATAGGGGCTTAAATAGTTGCTTACACTGTTTTGACTGCTCCTTCTTACGAATAGTATAATATAATGGGCCCCCAAACTGACCCAACGGCAAAACCTGAGCCTGAAATCGAAGCCCCCACAACGGAAGCCCAGAAACCCCAACAAGGAAGCCTCAAATCCTGAAAAAAGTCACGCCAAGATAGTTTGCGCTTGCGATCATGCAAAAACGCACGGTTTTTTGACATCGCATTTTGTATCATGGGTTCATGGGGCTTACAGTCTAGAGTAGGGCCAGCTTCTGTGCCTGAATACTGCTTCGGATTTAGGGTTTGGGTTTAGGGTTTAGGGTTTAGGGTTTAGGGTTTAGGGTTAAGTCCTAAAGCCTAGGCCTTGAAACCCAGGTAGAATTTTCACTGCAACTGCAGTTGCAAAAGAGCCCTTAAATTAAATAAACGAAGCCTGAACCCTAAAGCTTGCCTGAGCCCGAAGTTTTGGAACCCCACTGCTTTGTTTTTTTTCATATAGGTCCTCAACAACGTATGTTGCCAGGGCACTACTGGACCACTGGTGGCACAGATCCTTGGCTGACGACGCTGGGCGCAGTTGGAATCAGGGTTTAGGGTGTAGGGTTTAGAGGGTGTTTCGCAAGCGAAGTCTCAGTTTTGAAGCGAGGGATGTTGCTTGTATTGGAATGAAACGGTATCGGAATTGCAAAGGAATACTAGTAATAGTCATACCGGGTCAGTGTTTACATATTCGGGGATCGGCTTCAGCCTGATTTTGGTCTGGACATTGAGGGAGGCAGGGCCTAGAGCTGGATTTGAGTACTGGACTTAGGACTTGGCGCAGAGGATGGAGAGTTCTGGCTTACGGAGCTTCGGGTTGCGCATTACTTGAACCTACCTCTATGCTTCCATGGATCTGATTATCGGGTCCTGAAGGGGTGTAGGGCCCCAACTATAAGGTCCTTGGAAGCATAGGATACTGCTTCAATACAATCCGAGTTCAGCTTTCAGGAAGCTTGCATAAGCGATTTAAGATGTACAGGGTTTCCAGGATCACAGAACCCTAAATCCTATAAACCTAAATTTAGGGTGTATGGTTTGAGGCATATTCGGGAGCAATTAAGTTCAGTTCTACAGGGGTATAGCCAATGAAGTGCTGCGAAACACCAATCCCTTCAAGAGACTGCTTTGAACGTGCGGGGCTCCTTGTTCCGGGTCTTGTTTATAAACCGTTATTCTCTATGCGCCTAGCGTATTGTGAGATATCTAGTTGTGCTTTTGAGTCAGTGGGGCTTTAGCCTGCAGCGTTATGCTGCGGCATACTGGGCTTTGGAGTACCATACTTTGATCCTTTTTGGGGACCTTTTACTTAAAAGGAGCCAATTATGAGAAGAAAGTCTAGACTTTTTTCTCCCTGGTTACTTCAAAGCCCAGCATAGGTCTCCGTACCCATGCTGCTTTGGCAGCCGTTCCACTTAAGTGGCGCATGCCGTGCCCAAGACTTGAGCAGAACCCAAGCTGAACCTTAGGGGTACTTAGAAATACTTTTTGATAATGGTTATTATAATCCCTAAGAAACAGCTAAAATCAAAATTTTGGTAGGGTTCTAAGTTCAGTATAGGAACGACAACCCTGCAAACGGTTCTGTTGCCCAACTCCGCTGCGTGCTGCTTCAGCGACCGTTCCACTTCTGTTGTGTGTCCTGCTTCGGGGCAACTGGGAGTTTCCGAAAGTAGAGAACCCCAATTTAGTTCCCTAGGATCCTGAATATAAGTACCCCAAAATAAGGTACCCGTTAATTTTCGGAAACTCCCAACTCAAGCAGAACTCAAGCCCAAAGCTAGTCGAAGTTGAAACAGCATGGCTCCAGTTTCAGTTTTTCAGAATTCAAGCCCCAATCTAGTCGAAGTTGAAGCAGCATGGCTCGAGATTCAGTTTGTCCGGTGCTTGCTCATTTCAGGATTCTTTTTGAGGCTGAGTGGCATAGCCTAGTAGTAGAGTAGGTAACCTTTAACCTTTTTTGGATAGTATAATCCCTATATAATCCCTATATAGCCAAAAAAGGTTAACCTTTCCCATGATACCCGACAAGTAGGATAGTGCGGGTTCGGCCTTGCACCTCCGCAACCAATGATCCCCAACGCGCTATCCAGACCTACTTAGCCAACCGCCAGAATCCCAAGCCTCAAAATCCAAAATCCTAGACCCGGCCAAAAACCAAGAGGTTACCTCCCCACCCAGGGATGTGGCGATTAGGTCACGGGTGGAGGTTTAGGTCTTAGGTGCGTTTCGGGATCAGGGTTCAGGGTTTAGGCCTGGGGGTTTCGGGTCTAAGGTGAAAGCCAGAAAATTGGAATATGATTATCCTAACCCCTCTATGGTACATTATAGTGTATCCTACCATGAAACCATATTCCAACTTTCTGGAGTTCCCTTTAGGGTTTGGGGTTGAGGGTTTACGGTTTTTGGTGTAGCTTGCAACATTTGCATGCAAGGGTCGGGGTGCCAGGTCTCGAGTTGCCTCGCGAAGATACCCGAAGCATCCCAAAACCCCATGCTACACTAAACCCACCCGACTTAAAGGGTCATGGGACTTAGTAACTAGGGTTATAATTAGGGTAACTATACATATAATAACTTACGTATAGCCCCAATTAGGGTACTTATAACCCTACTTACTACGTCCCATGATCCTCAAAGTAGAACCCCAAGCCGAGGGTGATGTACAACACCACCAGCATGCCTAGCCTCGAGACTGGTCTCGTCGCCTTGGCTGATGCCGGGTTTTAGAGTAGCTTTTTTGTGTTAGGGTTTTCGTGTTTTGAACCGTTTCTTTAGAGGTCTTATCCCCAAATTTTGTTTTAGGGTAGTTTTTTTTGTGTCAGGGTTTTCGTGTTTTGGGGATAAGACCTTTAAAGACACGAAGTTGACTACTCACCTCTACGTAACAGACGTCGTGTTTTCTTGGAGGGCCTGGATGCTTCGATTTCCTGGCGCAGTATGTATTAAGCCATGGCCGTGTGTGTGTGTGTGTGTGTGCGCGCTCACCAGAGGTTCTCTAAGGGCCCAAAAGACTCCACAAGTAGGTACATACCTATAGTCTCCATTGTAGTTCCTTTTTGGGGTTTCACCAAATATAGAATTAGGATTCTATAAGGCGCTCCAAACAGGAACTACAATGGAGACTATAGGAAATTACCATATAAATGTATCAGGTTTTAGGGTTTAGGATAAGGGCTCAGGGTTTAGGGTTTAGATAGTACTATCAGGAAGACGAAGAAGACCTCAGGCTTACGTGACCCAAAAGAAGTAAGAACCAGCAGCACTCAGGAGGGATCTTTCGTGTAGGTCTGTTTGTGTTTGACAGTTTCGGCTTTTAGGTTCGGGTTCAGCATTCAGGGTTCCTGGAGACATGGTGTGGTCAACATTGCCCCCACTTGGACCTATAGACCCTAAACCCTATGCCATACGCGCCTGAACCTTACACCCTTGTGATGTTTAGTCTTCACGCCACGTCGTGTGCCAGCCATTGCACTGGAAATCCCAGCGAAACCCGTTACACTTTGCTGCAAAACCTCCAACGTTGTCTAAACCAGAAGCACGATGGAAACTTTGACATTTCCTTGGCAACACGTTCACAGGCACTTCAGAGCTTTTCACAAAATGATTCCATCCAAGCCTCTTCAACAACTGACAGGCTAAAGTCCTACAGTGCCTTACCCAAACCCTAAGCCCTAAACACTCAACTCTACCGCAGAAAAAGCCCCAGCTGAACACAGTAGTCGGTGGACAGAAGTCCTTCTAAGGCCGTGGTCACAGGAGCATCTGGCGAGGAGGGTGGGGTTCAAATTATGTTTGGACTAGGTGACTGGAGTTGGAGCTTCTTGGGTTTATGGTTTCAGGTTTTAGGTGCGTGGTGGTGTCTGACGGACCTGATGCGCCCGATAAGAGACAGGTGGGGTGAGGGGTTTAGGCTTCGAGTCTTGCGTCAGTGTCCTGTAAAGCCCTAAAGCCGCCAAGCCCGGAGAACCTTGACAAGAGTCTTCCACATGCGTTGTAGCGCAGTTAGTTCTTTGTTGGTGCTACTTCCACAGGAATTGTAGCACCACTTTATGACACAAGAGTCTTCGAATCATGTTTGTACCCTCCGGGTCCTGGCTGAGGAGTCAACGCCCAAAGCAGCCAAAGCATACACCCTAAACTCTGTTGCTAACCATATACCCTGAACCCGACACCCTGAACCCCACAAACTCCTAACCCCTAAGCTCGAATCCCTCGACCCGAAGCCCTGAACTCTCGGCCAAACTCTAGATGTAGACACAAGGGGTTTTGTAGTTTCGGGGGATCATGTGGCATGGAAAGAACTATTGTTAGGGACCCCAAAAGCACATATGCATAAGCATTTTGTAGGGATATCCCTAGCTTATTGGGCTGCATTATAGGTTATAAGTGTAGGGTTTGGGTTTAGGGTTTGGGGTTTAGGGCTTGGGTCTTTTTTTGAAGTGGAATGCACCACACCTTTGACTTGGGGTTTAGGGTTTGGGGTTTAGGGTTTGGGATTTAGGGGTTAGGGTTTGGGGTTTAGGGCTTGGGGTTTGGGGTTTAGGGTTTGGGGTTTAGGGTTTGGGGTTTAAGGTTTCGGGTTTGGGGTGCAGGGTTTGGGTTTGGGGTTTAGGGCTTGGGTCTTTTTTTTAAAGTGAAATGCACCACACCTTTGACTTGGGGTCCTGGGTTTTGGGATATCCCTATTCTAGTTTTTGCTTATGTGCTTTTTGGGGGCCCTGCATTGATCTTCAAGTCTGCGGTTGCGGGTTTGCGGTTTAGGGTGGAGGGCTTGGTTCGGTTTTTCTTTTTTTTGACGGGGTTTAGAGTTCAGAGTGCCCTAAACCGTAAACCCTAAACCCTAAACCGTAAACCCTAAACCCTAAACCCTAAACCCTAAACCCTAAACTCTAAACCGTAAACCCTAAACCCTAAACCCTAAACCCTAAACCCTAAAGCCTAAACTCTAAACCCTAAACCCTAAACCCTAAACCCTAAACTCTCAACCCTAAACTCTAAACCCTAAACTCTAAACCGTAAACCCTAAACCCTAAACTCTCAACCCTAAACTCTAAACCCTAAACCCTAAACCCTAAAGCCTAAACCCTAAACCGTAAACCCTAAACTCTCAACCCTAAACCCTAAACTCTCAACCCTAAACTCTAAACCCTAAACCCTAAACCCTAAAGCCTAAACCCTAAACCCTAAACCTTCAGAGTGCTCTTGTTGGCAGGGTTTGGGTTTAGGACTACAGGGTGCCAGGGTTCCGAATTTAGTGTTTATTTAGAGTCTCCATTGTAGTTCCTTTTTTTTTAAAAAAAATAAATATATAGTTAGGATTATTTAGTCTAAGCCATCTACAGGTGGGTAGTTTTAAGGTGGGTAGTCTCCCATAAGCCTTCCATACCACTCCTATAAGGTAAAGGGGTCTTATGGGAGTACTATGGAAGAGGAACTACCCACCTGAAATGGGCTTCTATTTAGGGTTTACCTAGAGTCTCCACTGTAGTTCCTTTGTTTGGTTTAACCAAATATATAGTTAGGATTCTATAAGGTAACCCCAAACAGGAACTACAATGGAGACTATAGGTAGGATTGTGTGTTGGGATGGAGGTTTCTGGCTTCTTTTGTACGGATCTCCAAGAGAATTTGTTTTGCCTGCCCTCTCTGAGGGGAGCAGAGCGAGCGTCCATGTACAGCATACTGCCAGAAGATTATCTGAAAGAGGCCCGGTAAGCTATACCCCACCACTTGGAAGGTAAGCAAGTCATAAGTAGACTTCAAACACCTTCATTGAAAGGGATCGGAATTGGAGTTCTGACATTTACATGTCTACAAGATAACTACTAACGAATTCCCCCGACTTTCAAGCATCCTGTCGACCCCGACTGTGTAGTGGGCTACTCAATTCTGGCTACTGGTGAAGGGTCTGTGTTGTGGGTCCGGGCTGAGGCAGTTTGGGGAGGCAGCTCTAGAACGCTGACTCAGATTACTGACTAAATACGCTGTCTTTCTTCATGTGTTCCTTTAAGAACGAAAAAGGAGTGTTTGAGGCATCCTGGCGCATGGACATTGGTTTCCCTCATGCTCACAGCATGTCTCAAACACCTGCTTTTCCTGGCTACTTTGGAGTGCAATTATGCTTGAACAGCCTATTTATTATTCGGAAAAATATAAATTTTACGGAGTAAATATTTGTTCTCATGAAAATCGTGGAACTGCATAGTTGAATCCTTGAAACATCACACCCCATAAACCCAAAGTCTCCAACCGTAAGCCTTAAACCCTAAACCCATACGGTTGATGATATAAATCCTGCATTACCTTAAGGACCCTAAACTATGGGAATTATGGTATATTCCTTATTATGGGTCATGCAGGATTTATATCATCAACCGTACTTATAAGGCCTGAACCAAGTCTGAGCTTTGCGAAGGTTGGTCGAGCTGAAAACCATTTCCTTAAAGCCGAAACTCTGGACCCTGAGCCCTACGCCCCTAAACCCCTAAACCCCGAGATCTAGACCACACACCCTAAACCCGAAACCCTAAACACTGAACCCGAAACCCTAACCTGAAACGCTAAGCCCCTTAAGCCCTAAACCCAAAGCCCTGTAAACCCTAAGCCCTGAACCCAAAGCCCTGTAAGCCCTAAGCCCCAAACCCTAAGCCCTGTAAACCCTAAGCCCTAAACCCTAAGCCCTGTAAACCCTAAGCCCCAAACCCTAAGCCCTGTGAACCCTAAACCCCAAAACCCTAAGCCCAAAAAACCTTGCAGCCGGAGCCCGACACACCCAAAACGTGCCCATCTAGTAGATGCTTAAGCCTAAAAGGGGTCCCTATATAGGTACTTTCCTAAGTATATGCTATATGCTTACATGGAGCCTTAGGGACCCAAAACGGACGGAGGATGTCTCTGGGCGTGCGATGGTGATCCATGACTTCGACGTGCCTCTGGGAGCTCCCCAGAGACTCCAATATCCCTTAATTAAGGAATATACCTTAAATCACATGCGGGATCCTAATATATAATTTAAGGTGTATTCCTTATTGAAGGGATATTGGAGTCTAAGGGGCTTAGGTTTCGGGCTTACTTTGGGGTTTAGGGCTTATAGGGTTTATAGGGTTTGGGGTTTAGGGTTCAGGGTTTAGGGTTCAGGGTTTGGGGTTTAAGGGTTAGGTTCGGGGCTGCGGGATGGGGGACTCTTAGGCTTCGAGTTTGGGTTTAGGGTTCAGGGCTTGAGGTTTGGAGTCTAGGGTGTTAGGGTTTAGGGCTTTAAGTTTAGGGTCTTAAGGTTGAGAGCTTTCTTCCGAGATTAGGGTTTGGGGCTTTGGGTTCAGAGCTGCGAGACAAAATCCGGCACTCTTCGTAACAAGGACTTCTTGGATTTATTTGATTTTGTATCTTGTTCTTTAGGTAACGCAGGCTCTCGTTCATCAGCAGAATGGGATGTGGGGCCAAGGGCAGGTACGGTTCAGTGTTGGGGGCTGTTCGTTTAGGGTGCGATCAAGAGCTGTTGTAGAGCTTCAATGTATGTGCTGCAGGGAAATGCAAAATAAAACAGCGATCTTAAAATGGCAGCGGAACAGTATTCGTGACAGAATCAGTCCCAACATTTGCAAATGAACGACAAGCATAAGTCGGCAACGGGGAGGTCACAGCCGTGATGTTGATACTGCCACTCCCAATGCCAGGAACTACAACCCTAGATACAGCCCTAACTGCGCCAACTGCCAGAAACCCTAAACCCTAAACTTAAAACCTAAGCTTAAACCCTAAAACCTAAACTTAAACCCTAAACCCTAAACTTAAACCCTAAACTTAAGCCCCAAACTTAAACCCTAAACTTAAACCCTAAAACCCCCAAGCCGCCAAGCCCGACACTTAAACCCTAAACCCCTTCCTTAGGGACCCAAAAAGCACATAAGCATAAGCATTTTGTAGGGATATCCCTACCTTACTGGGCTTCATTATAAGGGGATTTATATGGGATATCCCTATCCTTATTTTTGCTTATGTGCTTTTTGGGGGCCTTACTTCCTTCCCAAAGCAGACTGGATTGCAGAGGGAGACAAGCAGTCAGAGATACACCCTGAAACCCTAAACCGTAAATCCTTCAAAGGGGAAAAGGAGGGACCCTTGATAAGGACCCCTAGGTCTATACCCTTAATATAGCTATTATATACCCATTACATAGCCCATTGTAGGGTAGGAGTCCCCATTGAGGGTCCCTCCTTTTCCCCTTTGAACCTAAACCCTAAGGTCTTAAACCTTACTAAACCCTTAAACCCCTAAACCTTAAGCCCTAGATCCTTAAACCCTAAGCCAAAAACTTTCCTAAACCCTAAGCCCTAAACTCCTAACCCTTAGTCCGTAAATCCTCAAACTACGGTGGATGATATAAATCCTGCATGACCCATAATAAGGAATATATCATAACTCCCATAGCTTAGGGTCCTTAAAGTAATGCAGGTTTTTGTATCCTTAAACCCTAAACCCCTATAGATCCCTTTAAAGGAACCCCTTAAAGGTACCCCTATAGATCCCTTTAAAGGAACCCTAGGATTTTTATCATCAACCGTACCAAGCCGTGGTCTTCTCCTTTTTGTGTTCGCTCTCGGGCCAGGGAGGTCGAATTGCTTGTGGAATCATCGCGAATGCCTCTGTTGGCTCTTCGGTGCAACGAGGAATTTCGGATCATTGGTCTTGCTTGGAGGGTCGGGGGACTTAGTAAGTAGGTAGTAAGTAGACTTATAAGTACCTTAAAAGGGACCCTAATTGGGGCTATGGTACTTATAAGTCCCTAAAATAACCAGTTACTAAGTCCCCCGACCCTCCAAGTGGGGTCTTGGGGTTTGGGATTTGGGAGTTTCCGAAAATAGGGGACCCAATATAGTTATAAGGACCCCCAATAAAGCACTCCGGATTGTCGGAAACTCCCATTTAGAGTTAGGGTTTAGGACTTTAGGATTGTTGTTAAGGGTTCACGGTTTAAGGTTGTGGCCCCCCGACTACCCCAAAAAAAGCGTCCTTGTGTTTGCGTTTTAAGCGCGTAGGGGGTTTAGGATAGGGGTTTAGGGTTTTGGGGTCCGGGAAAATTGTAAGTGATGATTTTATAGACTTGTAGGTATCGCAGCCCCAAATGTTTTTTTTGCGTACTTCGACATCTACCTAATACCTACTTTGAAAGTCCCCCGACCCTCCAAGTAGGGTTTAGGATTTTAGGGTTTATCGGTTTAGGGTGTAGAGTTGTGGTTTGCCGTCTGGGCGTTTCTTTTGTGATCGGCTTGGGCATCGGCATCGTTCTTGTACATATGGAATGCCAAGTGAAGGAATTGTATGCAAATCTTATCTGTCGAGCGCATGCGGGATCCTAGTCCTAATTGGGGTTATGGTACTTATAAGTCTCCAAAATAACTAGTTACTACGTCCCCCGACCCTCCAAGTAAGCTTAAACCCTAAAACCTGAACTCCGATCAGCAGATTGGGACCCGCTCCTCCTTTAGATGTGGTTTAGGGTTTAGGGTTCTTCACAATTTGGCGTTCGTGCCCTCTCAAGATACATGGGTGGTTGTCAAAATTAGGGTCCCTTTTTGGATCCTTATTATAATACGGCATCTCATATTTAGGGTACCCAAAAAGGGACCCTAATTTTGACAACCACCCACATGTTTCAAGAGGATTTCAACGAAACCCCAAACTTCAAGCCTTAAAGCATGTGAGGGTTGTTGTACCTGCTCTAGGGTTCAGGGTTCATTGTTTAGGGTTTAGAGTTTAGGGTTTAGGGGTTTGGGGTTTAGGGGGTTCAGAAAGGCATCTAGCTTCAACATGGTGGAATCCCTCAAACGCCCTACCAAAAGCTGTCGGCGCGGCCCAAGTCCCTACATAACGGGCCCCTGTGTCACCTGCCAACGCTTTGGATTGAAAGGCTGTCGGGTTGTTTGATAGCCCGGGTTTCTTGTTGATTTAGGGTCCGCCTGCACCCCCGAACCGACCTTCTCCAAGGCAGATAGGATGGGGCTTGTTACCAAGAGGGTCTATATGCTACTATTATGGAATGAGGGCCCCAAAGCCATAATAAGGATTGCCTTTTGGGACCTAATTCCACAATGGTAGCGTAGATTCACCCTCTGGGTTAGGGCGGTTGAAGCCCCATGTCCGAAACCCCACTACCTGTGACCCATAATCCCGAGCTCGTGGCAGTGCTAATGCAAGAACCCTGATTAAGAAACCCTGTGCCTGCAACCCCAAACTTGTAGGATTCATATAAGGAACCCTAATAAAGGGCCAAGCTTTCTTGATCAGGTTCCTACATTATGCTGACCCTAAACCCTAAACCCTAAACTCTAAACCCTAAACCCTAAACCCTAAACTCTAAACCCTAAACTCTAAACCCTAAACCCTAAACCCTAAACCCTAAGCCAAAGCCCAACTTCCCAGGTGGATTTGAGGCATATCCCGGCTACGTCGGCAACCTTGCCACGGCAGGAGTGATGCAGGTCCCTTGGGGGTTTAGGGTTTAGGGTTTAGGTGGCAGCCTGAGGCTTCGTTTCTCCAGTATGTTCCCCTTAGGGTTCATGCACATTTAGTCATATAGATTCAATACCTACTTCTTTTTGGCAGGGTCCTTTACCTGAACTCTGTGAGACCTACAACTAGCAGAGCTTACAACGAAGTTTGCTGCTGTAATGCAACAGACGCCATGCTAAGCCTAGGGTGTAGGCTGTAGGGTTTACGGTTGGGCAGCAGCACGTCTTGGCCACTCTAGAGAGCTTGATCCTCTTGGGGGGTTTAGTTGAATTTAGATCCCTGGTTCATGTAGCATCTTTTCTACAAGGCCCTTAATCCCAGACAGTTTGATTCTTGCCGTGGGTGCCGGGTGCCTGTTCGCAGAGTTTGCTCTTGGCTGTTCTGCACCCGCAGCAACAAATCGTGCGCCCACAGCAAAACGAAAACGGAGCACCCCCAGCAAAAGTACAAGCACTCTTACCGCCCACAGGATCCCGAAACCGGAAAACCCGAAGCATAAATCTCGTAACCCGAACACCGAACGTTGTCGGCATGGTCCATGGCTGGTTCGGCATTCAGAAAAAAGTTTTTGTTTGGCAGCGGGAGACTTGATGATTATCATAACCCCGATCAGGGTCCATTTCATGAAGTACTTACATGTCTACTTATTACCTACTTACTACTGTTGATGATACAAAACCTGCATTACCTTAAGGACCCTAAAGTATGGGAATTATGGTATATTCCTGATCAGGATTTATATCATCCACCGTAAGTCCCTCGACCCTCCAAGTAGTCTTGCAGGCACAAGTATCGGCCAATTCCATGCCCTCTGGGTGCCGGGCGTTGATCTAGTCATAGGGACCCTTAGGGGGTTAGGGGGAAGGGGGGGTAGGGGGCCTTAACGCCAACAACAAGGCCTAATAAGGCCTAGTTAAGGAAGTATAGTCCCCTACCCCCCTCCCCTTACCCCCCCAAAGGGTCCCCATGAACGGTGGAGGGAAATTCCTCGTCCTCCAGTCACACCAAGAGAGGGCCACAGCATGAAAAGGAAAACTCGCGGACCGCAATTCTAGGGTTTAGGGTTCAGGGTGTGTCGATGCTCCGCGCACACCACCACGCGAGACGTGTGTTGTGGTGTGCGCCTAGGTCCCGCCACCCAGTCTATGACCTTTGTCGGGTTTAGGGTTTTCAAGGCCAGGGCCCAGCGCCTGGTTCTCAGGACCAGGGCCAGGGCCGGGTCAAGACCAGGGTGGCCAGGGCCAGGGCCAGGGCCAGGGCCAGGGCCCAGCAGGGGGCAGGGCCCAGGGCAGGGCCACGGCCAGGGCCAGGGGTCAGGGCCTGGCCTGCATGAGCAGAGCCAGCTTGGAGGTTTAGGGTCAAAGAGTTCTGATTGGCTAGCATGCCTGGTCACATGCGCCAGCACTGAGCGGTTGCTGGGGCTCCTCCGCTGCGCCTGTCGAGCCAGCCTCACTGACGCTTCGGCACGCTCGCTGCTATTCGCAGCGCCCGGCTTCAGTTTAGGGTTCAGGGTTTGGGGTTTAGGGTTGAGGGATTAGGGGTTAGGGTTTAAGGTTTAGGGCTTCTTCTTTGGCCGCCGCCTCCGCCACATCGCGCAAGCACCAGCATTCTGCAGAAGGTGCAGATTGCATGTTTGCACAAACCTGATGGTGACGGTGAGTATGCTGACACATTATTGTAAAACCCTAAACCCCTAAAACCCTAAACCCCTAAACCCTGAGCCCTAAACTAGTACGTATCTATAGCGGGGACAACCCACATCTGCCTTAAGCTTCACGGAGTTCGGCTTTTAATGAGCTCTAAACCCGAAATCCTGAGTCGGTTCGTTTGCTGTTTGTCAGTTCTGGGCCCCTGACCCTACTAGGAGGGTCGGGGGACTTACTAAGCAGAAAATAAGTAGACTCATACGCAAGTACCCTCAAGGGGATCTTTGGGGTTATGATACTTACAAGCCTGTACAACAGCGCACCGACCATCCATGTAAGGTCGTCTGAACCATAAGAGTACCCCGACCTTTCTCAATAAACCTCAAACCCTGGATCCTGAAGCCTAAAGCCTAAACCCCTAAGCCTCTCAAACTTCATACCCTAAAGCCCCTACCGAACCTTTGCACTCCAAGGTGTATTCCAAGGATGTCACCCAGAGTCTGACCTGGACACTTCGGCCTGGTCTGTATGGTTCAGGGTTTAGGACGTTCCATATGGGAGTTTCCGAGCATAGCGGACCCTAATATAGTACCCAAAATAGTAGGTGTGTGGTGTAGGGTTTAGGGTGTAGCGTTTGGCGTGTAGGGTTTAGGGCGACTATAACGGGTTTGGAGTCTCGGACGTTCCGTCTTGGCAACCCAGGACTGATCTTGGACAGGGTCCACAGAAACTCCCAAATCCCTTAATTAAGGAATAGGGTTTCCCATATTCTCCATCAGTTTATTCAGCAGGGCGGGTAGTGTTAAGGTCTCATAGTTTCCATGATTCATTCACCAGGCTCCGTAGTCAAATAGTTTAAACAGTGACAATGGCTCACATGAGCGGAGGAGCGTAGTCCGGGCACAAGTACACCCTGCTTCCACACCTTGTTCATTTCTCCACTTGCGGGATTTATATCATCAACATAGCCGAGGATCCTTACAGCTGGCCTGGACACACGCTGCAGAGACCCAGCCTGCAGATTTACGGTTTAGGGTTTGGGGGTTTAGGGTTTAGGGAGAATTTTTTGGGTGATGTACCTTGTTTCGGTTTTCTTATGACAAGGTTGGGTCGATACTAGCATGTGCAGATGTGGTTTGGCAGTTTAAGAGTTGTTCCTGGGGAACCCAAAACCATGGTTGTGTAGAGCTTTCATGTCAGACCCCTGTCTACCATCCCGTAGGTGACTGCGTGTCGCGTTGGTGTTGTTGCTTTCTTTGTTGTTGTGGGGCTTGGGGTTTCCAAAGAGCTGTTGTTGGGGTGAGTAGGGTTCAGCACAACTCTTAATTCAGCCACCGACAGCGAGTAGTTCCAAACAGGAGTACTTAAGCTTGACTGTCATGGCTTAAAACATCCTCTTTCAGCTTAATCTTCGTTTGGTTTGCTCGGTGTGCGACCCACGTGCAACAAGGTTATGGTCATAACGACCAGTATCCCTGGAAGGAAGCCGAATCGTGCACTCACGACTTTTCTGAAGGATCCCTCAACAATTTATTAATTTATACACTCGCCAAGACCATGCTAAACCTTGAACCGCAAACCCTATGCTGTATCGCATCATTGGGACAGAGGCGTCTTATGCGAAAGTTTGCCGGGCTTCTACCTGCTGGATCCGACACGCCAATTCTCAGCAAAATTTCCTTTGTCGACCCTGACATCGGAGTGTCAGGGAGCAGGGGACACTCTAGAGCACAATTAAATGTCAGGTTTCAGGCACCTTCAATAAGGGGCCTTTGATAACGGAGACGACTCTGTAATCGCTAGAAAACACTCTTCATTCCCAACTCAAGGGGTCCAAAAAAACCATTCGACTCCCTACCAGCAATCTCGCGAACCCTTGGCTCACCCAGTCTCAGAATTGGCGGAAACTCCCTGAACCCTAAAACCTAAGCATCCCTAAACCCTAAAAGCCTGGAAATCGGAGGCGCCGCCTGCACTGCTGCCAACTGCTGCGGAGTCCACATCCACGTGGGCACCTCCCCAGGGCAAAGTTGGTTTAGGGTCCCTTCATAGGGGTTTAGGGGTTTGGGTTTAGGGTTCCTTTAAGGGTTCTACAGGAGTTTAGGGTTAGGTAGGGTTTAGGCTTCCTCTATATAAGGGTTCTGCAGGAGTTAGGGTTTAAGGGTTTAGAGGGTGTGTGTGTGTGTGTGTGTGTGTGTGTGTGTGTGTTTACTGTTTGTGTGCGCGCTGTTTCAATGCAAGGGGCTTATCGGCTTCCTGCAGGGTGTTATAGGCTTTTGAGCGGTTTTCTATGGGTCGGATAGGGTTTTCACAGGTGGTTGAGTCAAATGCACGAACTAAACCAAGCTGTAATGCACAGGGCTTTGGGGGAGTTTTCGTCGTGCTTTCCCTTTGGGGATGTGAGCTGTTGCTTCACGTAATATTGAGGATCTCAAAACATTTCTGTTTCTTGACCTCTGCGGAACGTGGAGTATTGCAGATCCCTGGTGGGAAGGGTGCGCCCGACTGAAGATTCTAAGGTTGTCTACGGTTTCGGGAATAATTAGGATTTAATTACTGGTTTGGAGAATGAATCCATTTCTACCTTTTGCATCAGTGCCCTTTTTCCCTTTTTTTGTTGGACGGGGTGGGTCTCGCTATCAAAACGCAAGAGCAGGAAAAAGGTACCCGTACTATTAAGATCTATTAAGGGTCTACTTGGGCAACGGATTCATGGGCTTGGGGACGACGTGTTGTTGAACTCATGGCTTTCTAATGATTAGCAATCGACCAGTTGTGTTATAGAGTTAGTGCTGATTGAGGTTCCAGGTACGACTGAACAGCCGTCCTTCCCTCAAGAAACCACATAAGCACACAAGCGCAAAGCCATGAACCTGCAAGCAGCACGTTAACTGCTTTACGTCTTCGGTTACTTGGCCCGATAACCCTAAACCCTAAACCCTAAACCTTCCTAAACTCGAGGCCTTGAACTTTTCAAGCCACAAGCATAGACTCACAACCCAGCACGAGGGGATCTGGTGCCCTGAGCAGTTCATACAGTTGTCCGTGTGTTCAGCCATACTTAGATATACAATACTAATGATATTCCATGAGTTATCGCATAGTATGTCCCGACCCCCGATACCGTAGTTAGTCACCCGTCCCTAAGCCCAAGATAATCCCTAAGCACTAACCACCAGCGAGGAACAAACTGCTCTGACGCGGCCACGATCGGGGGCCACCACTGGAACTCGACTTTCGTTGCCGCAGACCCATGGGCCATGACTCTCAGCAGCAGTCGCGGCTTTGGGGGTTTAGGGAGGACTTCAGGAACTTCGTGCTTCAAAAGTCAAAAGGGTATCAGGTAAAAGAACACTATGAGGAGTTTGAGATTGACGAGTTCGGCTTGAATGGGGGCTGGGGTGTAGGGGATTTGTTTCCTCGAGTTGCAGTGTAGGTGCTAAACCCTAAACCGTAAACCCAACAACCCTAAAGCCCAAATGTTCCGGATTTGGGATTTATGGCTCAGGCTGAAGCAACTATGGGCCTGCTGACTAAGGAAACCGTCGAAGGGCCCAAGGCATGTGCAGTAGGGCGAGGATTTGTTTTGGTTTTCTGTTTTACAGGGCTTCTATAAGGTGTCGTGCAGGTTCATGTAAGCCCTCAATACTCAAATTCTCTGGTCTTGTTTGGGTGTAGAGGATTGAACGCATGCAGGAGCTGGAGTTCATTATGGTTTGGGGTTGAATCTACAAAAATGCTTTCGGGTGGAGGGCTCAGAGTGGTTTTGTTCTCAAGGTTGATAAGGCTTGGTGGGGTGTAATAGAGCTCTGGACCCTAAACCCAAAAGCCTGATACCTAAACAGCTACCGGAAGGGTCATGGGACTTAGTGACTAGGGTGATAATTAGGGCAACTATGCTTATAATTACTTAAAACCCCAATTAGGGTACTTATAACCCTACTTACTAAGCCCCATGATCCTCCCAAGTAGACCCAAAACCCTCAACCCTGTAGATCCCTTTAAAGGAACCCCTATAGATCCCTTTAAGGGGCCCTTTTAAGGAACCCTTACTAAGTCCCATGATCCTCCAAGTAAGCCAATAAACCCTAAAGCCTCAGCAGGTTGAAGGCTTGGGGTTTAGGGTTTAGGGTTTAGGGTTTAGGGTTTAGGGTTTAGGGTTTAGGGTTTAGGGTTTAGGGTTTAGGGTTTAGGGATTTCGTGTTTAGGGTCCTTACGGCTGAGGGGTGTGGAAGTCCCGCGTAATCCTAAGACTCCGCGTCGTCAAAGATTACCCAGAGAGGCCATATACACTGTTATTATGGAATCAGGTCACCGAATCCATGAAAAGGATGGTCTTTTGGGATCTATTTCCATGCCAGTAGTGTATGTGGATTCTCTGGGTTACCTACTTCGGAGTCTAAAGTCTGTAACAACTACAGTTATTGAGCTATTTGGAGTCTCAGGGTAATAGATTTGCAGGGCGTTGCGCGGTTGTCTAGTCGAAGGAGTCTGGGCCTTGTGTTGTACTTTGGGTTCAGGGTTTAGGGTTTGAAGTTTAGGATTTGGGGGTTTGGAGGTTTAGGGGTTTAGGGGGTTAGGGTTTAGGGTTTAGGTGCCCATCGGGTGAGACGCACCTTACTCATTGCGGTCCCTATAAACCCTAACCTGTACTTCAGGTTGCTCTAAGTATCCTCCGAGGAACTGAGTAGGCTGGTTGTTCAGGGTTCAGGGCGGGCATCTTAGTATTATTTGCCGTAGGGATTGGGCGTTTTTTCTGGGTTTGGTTGCCCTGGTCAAGGGTTGGTGAGGTGGGTGAGTACGTTCAGCATTGAGGGCATGGAGACGTTGGAGCAACGGCTTCAGGGCGTTAAGAATCAGGGGTCTAGACTTATTTAAGCTTTGAGACTTGTGGAGCTTGTGCTGAAACTTGGTTCGGTCGCCCAGGATCATGTACAACACGTCGCACATGCCTTCTGTGATGTCCGACGTGATGGTGGAGACGGGCTACATGGAGGCGAACATCGAAGGCAGAGACGGGGAGGGTTAATTTGTGTTGAATTGAAAGCTTTAGTGGATACGGGGTTCATGTAGGACCAAGCTTCAGTCTAATTTAGCGTCCCTTCAAGCAGCCCTACACCCTAAACCCTAAACCCCTAAACCCTAAACCCTACACAAATCTCTACCAAACACAAAAGACCCTTGACACACCCTCTCAAGTCCAACCCAGTCCTGCCTTCTGAGCCGCCAACCCCCCATTGTAACTGCTACATGTATCTATCGTTCTTTCTGTTTGTATATTATATATGTATATTTATAATTACAAGTTTTATTTGTGTTTTGGCATTGAATGATTAGGCATGCTTACATGTATACAATTATCTTCATGGCTTTAGGTCTGGATCTTTCATCTATGTATCTGACTAATTCGTATTTTTCGGTCTACGTTCTTCAAGACCGAAACTTGCAGGATTGAGGATTCAGCGATTTAGGTCTGCGGTTTGGAGGTTCGGAGGTTTAGCTGTTCGGAGCTTCTTAACGCGGACCCGCTTCAGAAGCAATGCACAACTTATTAGGGTTAGGTTTCTGTAGTAATTTACCCTAAACCACAGAACCGCAACCCCTCTCCGCATCAGAAAAGCCGCAAAGGCCCGTGATCAATTGATGTCTTATCTTAGGGGTACTTAGAACTAATTTTAATTGTTTGTTATTATAATCCCTAATCAACAGCTAAAATTATCATTTTTGCTAGGGTTCTAAGTTCAGTATAGTTATTCTCTTTTAGATAGGCATCCCGATACTACAGCCGTTAAACTAATAGGGCATCATAGCTTTTGACGTTTTCTCCGCGCAAGCATTCCATATTTTAAGCACAGAGTTTGAGGCAAAACATGACAACCCTCATCAACCCAGCCCTAAATCCGCAGGCCACACCATGGTCATCCACGACTTCACCGGTGCACGAATTGCTTGCTCCCACATCACGGAAGTCTTGGAGCTCCGGCGAAGGGTTTCGAGGGTTTGAGGGTTCTGGGGGTCCAGGAACCCCCCCCAAGGGCCCTTTAATAGAGGCCTGATGGTCCTTAATGGTGGATATTTGGGGTATAGTAGAGGGTAGTTGGGGGGTCTAGGTAGGGTTTAGGGTCTTTGGGGTTCGGTGTTTGCGGCTACAGTGCTTCCGGCAGTGTTTTCGGAGTTTACTGTGGCAACCCCTTCAACCCTAAACCCTGAACCTAAAGCCTCTATCAGTCTGCAAAACACCTATGTAGACCCCGTGTTATTGAGAAACCGTCCAGCCATAACTAACCTAAACCCTAAACCCAAAAAGCCAGGAAAACCCTAAACCCGAGAAGCCCTAAACCTAGAACCCTGAAAGCCCTAAGCCCTATGTAAACCCTGAAAACCCCTAAACCCCAAACCACAGCAAGCCGTAAGCACCGAGCTCCGGTTCCAAAAGTCCTTGATCCAAAGCCACGAGCATTCAGTCGAAACGGAACACTAAGGGTTTGAGTTCCTACTATAGGGGCCGTAATAATTAGAATAGGGTTTTGGGGGCCCATTATACTGCAATCATAACAAGGAACCCCCACAATAGTATTGGTAAATATGCAGGCCCCTATTGTGCTATTATTCAAGGCTTGGGGTTTAGGCTTTTGTGTGTTTGGGTTTTGTTCTTTACAACAGCATGAGGGTTTAAGGTGAAATTTAATTCGGGTTCAGGGCTTACGCTTATGTTTTAGGGCCTACCCTCAGGGTCCAAGTTCCTAATAATCAGATACTCCCTGAAACTCTAACCTAATTGTTGCACTTCTTATCATAAGTTATTACGTTATCGATCTTTTGTTCTTCTGATTGTTAATACGAATCTTATTGTCATTGTCCTCAACCCAAGTACTTAGTAATTGGGTCCTGCGGACCCTTGTGAAGCAACGGAAGACCTAACAGTGTTGAATGCCTCATACTCCAAACCTCCTTCCCTAAAGGCGAGTTCTGTCGGTCCGCGTACACAAACAGTATCTTCATTGGCCCCAAAATTCCGAAAAAGGGATCACACTAAGGCCAACGTATATACAGAATATGAATACATTGACCCTAAGAATAAGCCAGCCGCTAAGGACGGGATGTGGACCGTCAGCCTCTGGGACGCATGAAAGATTTCCGTGGCTCACAGGGTGAACTTAGGTGGGCATTTAGAGTAGTTTTTTTAAAGACTTGTAAGTATCAGAACCCCAATAAGGATCCTATCTCGACTGTCAATCTAGTCGCTTATCTACTTGCTAAGTCCCCCGATCCTCCAAGGAGGCCATTGGCCACATCATGTGGATCTCACAGGATGCTAAAGACAAATGCTGCTCAGAGGTTCTGATGGCCAGCCAGTCTAGCTAAGCTGAGCTTTGCAGAGTGTATACCTTAGAAGCAGTGACTATAAGGACTATATTTGGGCCCTATTATATTCCTATTATACCACTGTTACAGGGTGGGGGCAGCTTCCAATGTATACCCCTGATTTATGAGGGATGGATCGGGGTCCTGATCTTAAGGGTCTACGCCATGTGGAGCTTGCGTACTAAAGGGGCCTTCATAATTACCTATACCATTTGCGAATTATTAGGGGTTCCCTACTGTACTTATAGCATAATGGGCCCAAAACCCTATTCTAATCATTAAGGCCCCTATATTAATAGGGTTTTAGATTTTCGGGGCTTGGCATTCAGGGATCACTTGTGTAGCCATCCTTCCACACCCTCAAGTCGCGTAGAATCCAGGGTCTGCTTGGAGGGTCGGGGGACATAGCAACCCTAAGGGTCCATGTGCCCAAATAGCATATACATTGGCCCCAAAGTACCTATATAGTCACTACTTTAAGGCTTAAGTATATACTAAATGAGTACATGGACCCTTAGGGGAGTTTAGGGTGTGCGACCCCATGGAACTGAAATAGCAGCATAAAGTTGGGGGTTGGCATGGTCATGTACTGCTACCTGCATAGCCCCAAATTGATTATCGTATTATAACGCACCCCTAGTTTTTCTAGTTAGTAAGGTGCCCACATTCCGGAAACTCAGCACGAGATTAGGGTTCTTGGGGTTTAGGGCTTGGTGTTTTGAGGTTTAGAACCCTCGGGTTTCAGGTTGTGTTGCCTGAGGTTTAGGGCTAGGGGAAAAGATTGTTCTTTGGTCAGGTCCTGGGTTTCAAGGTGTTTCAGCGCCATTTTAGGGTCATCAGGTATCTGTGTCCGAAATGCAGGTGTTCTGACAACCACAAATGCAATAGCCACAACACGCAAAAAGCCTCCACAAATGGCAGAACGACGTTTGACCACAATACTGAGGCCCGAAGAATTAGTTCATAATACGGCTGATTATGTAATCCCTGCATTACCCATAACAAGGTATATACCATAGTTACCATAGTTTCGGGTCCTAAAAAAAGTAATGCAGGATTTATAGCTTCAACCGTATCGCCTTGTCCTCCGCAAGTATACTGTATTCGTACATCCAACCCCTATACTACACCTTGCAAGAGAAGTTTGAGACACCATAGAGACCTTGTAAACAAAACGCCTTATCAACCAGCACGACTTTGAAGAGCAAAGCAAAACGCTACGAATTTCTGCTGATATCTTGGACACAAAAAGAATTACGTACCAAATGCGCAGACCCAAAACTCTAAACCCTAAACCCGCAGCAGTAATGGTGTCAAAACCCTTGTCAACTCGAAACCTGACAAGCTAGGGACCCTCAGCAAAAGTAGGTTTTGGGGGTGAAGGTATGGGAGGTTGGCACAGATTCCCGGAAGAAGGAGCTCAACGAAACCTCCGGAGCTAGTCCCAAACCGAAAGCCTTGAGCAAGCCAGTCGAGGCTCTGAAGTACAGCCTTTTTTCTAAAATCCGCCGAAACCCTAAACCCTAAGCCGATCAAACCGAAGCCCTAAACCCCAAAACCGTAAGCCCAAAACCGATCAAACCGACGCCCTAAGCCCCAAAACCGTAAGCCCCAAACCGATCAACTGAAGGCACCACCACCACCACGACCGGCGGGGCAGGCACGTCCGACATCTCCTTCGCCCACGCCGGCAAGGTGGGATCTTTAGACTTCAAGGTTTAGGCTTTAGGACCTTAGACATTAGAGGTTTCTTTTTTTTGTGCACTCAGAACGACTCAGAACCATCAGGGTTCAGGGTTCGTGTGGTCTTCAGGATTTAGGATCCCAGAATTTGGAGGGTCGGGGGGACGTAGTAGGTAGGTAGTATAAGTAGGTGTATAAGTTCCTTGCATGGGTTCCTTATTGTTGGTTATGAACAGAACTACTTACTAATCGCCTAAGCAGGCTTCAGGAAGTAGAGGTCTTCTTGCATGCTTGACTTGGAGGGTCGGGGGACTTGTTAAGTAGTCGTTTTACAGAATGCAAAGTATCATGACCATAGGCCCCCCTTCAATGTACTGATACGGCTGATACGTCTACTTGTTATCTGCTTACTGAGTCCCCTGACCCTCCACGAAGGTGGGCTTAAAGGTGCTCAGAAGGTGTTCTGGTTTGACAGAACATTGTGGCTTGATACTGGGGTTTAAAAACCCTAAGGCTCAAAATGGCCAAAAAGTATAGGAACCCACAAAAAGGTAGGGTATGATTCAAACGCCCAGAGACTTCAATATCCCTTAATCAAGGAATACACCTCAATTTATAGTAGGATCCTCAATATGATTTAATGTATATGTCTTAAATAAGGGATATTAGAACCCCCTGAACCCTAAGCCCTATAAACCCCTTTAAGGATCCCTTAAAGGAACCCTTTAAGGTACATTTCTTAATTAACGGATTTTGGAATGTCTGGGCCCTGGGGCCCGGAATCAACCCTAAGCCCTACGACTGTAATGTAGGGGCCCTAATAGTTACCTATACTATTGTGGCGGTTCTTTAGTATAGTATAACGGGCCCCAATCCCCTACTCTAATTTTTTAAAGCCCCTTTCCTAAGCCCTAAACCCTAAACCCTAAACCCTAAACCCTAAACCTAAAACCTTAAACCTCGAGTTCCAAAACCTGAGGCCATCTAAACCTCTCGGCCCTTAAGCTGCAAGTCTAAAACCCCACAAACCCCCTCACAAGGAGTCTTAGCCAACAGGATCCTGTGATGCTGGGTCTAAGGTTTGGTGCTTAGGGTTCTAGCATTTAGGGTTTTCGGGTTGAGGATTTAGGGTTTAGGGTGCGAGGGTTTAGGGTTTAGGGTTCTATGTGCGGTTCAGGAGGAATATTTACATGGTGTTACAAGGGGGTGTACGTACGGCCTTGTAGGGCTTGATCCCGTGATACTGTTGTGATATGAAGTCTGTGGGAGTGGATCATGTAATGAGCCCTTTAGGATCGCAACCATGTCAATTACTCTGACTGTTTATAGTGGCTACCTGGACCCCAAAAGTATGCAGAACAACAGCCTTTTACAGGTGTTGGGCCATTATTTTACTTAGTTTTGCGGGTCTAGGTACCCAGAGACTCCAAAACCCCTTAATTAAGGAATATACCTTAAATCATATTAGGATCCCTACTATAATTTAAGGTATATTCCTTAATTAAGGGGTTTTGGAGTCTCTGGGTACTGGGTGAGCCTTTGTCCCCCAATTACTCGGGCCTGCTTGCGCTGAGCTCTGACCGTGAAGCGCACACCCTCTGAACCATGATGGCCCCTTCCCCCTTAAAGGGAACTCCAGAAAGTTGGAATATGGAATAATGGCAGGATCCCCTATGATTTACCTTAAAGGGATTATGATAATGATATTCCAACTTTCCGGCTTCTACTGTAAAGAAAGGACTTCTCAAAGCGCCGTTTAGCCACCCTACCAACACACCTCTACTACAGCGCTGGCACATGCGGCTACCCCAAGGTCGGCGTTGCATTCGGAGCGCTGGTGTCTAGCCTGGCTGTAGCGTAAGAGGTGCCCGGCGAGCCGAGACTGCAAGGACCAAACGAATCCCAGCATAGAGGGTTTAGGGGGTTTAGAGTTTAGGGGGTTGAGGGTTTAGGGCTTAGGGTCTAGGGTTTATAGGGGGTTTAGGGGGTTTTAGGTTTAGGGGGTTTAGGGATGAGGGTTTAGGGACAAGGAAGGGATCCCAAAAGTAGCCCCTATATAATCCCCAATGCTAGTCATACGGGCTCTATAAAAGGGCGACTCAGGGTTTCAGGTTTTGGGCCTTAATATAGGGACCTTAATGATTAGAACAGGGTTTTGGGGTAAGTATATTATAATTATTATACTATGTTTGTCATAAGGAGCCCCCTGAAATAGTATGATCATAGGTCATTATTAAGGCCCCTAACTTACAAGGATGTAGAGATATGTAGAGCTTAGGGTTCAGGTTGTAGGTTACAGGGTGCATTAGGGTTCCATACATGGTCCTTGTATACTTTCGAGTTCAACACTAGTCAAATTATTGAGCTCCTACATGAGGGTCTGGTTCTATTCCCAGAGCTGCTTAAAGCTGTATGAAGTATAGAAGATAGCGGAGAAGGAGAATGCGTGAGTAGTGATGATACAAGTACACAGAATGTCAGCTGTGTACTGCTGTTGATGGTATCAATCTTGCATTAGACTCTAAGCTGTTAGAATCATGGTATATTCCTGATTATGGGTAGCAGGATTTATATCATCAACCGTACTGCTGACAAAGACCCTGCCCCGAACCCCCAACACCCTAAACCGACATCAGCCGCGAAGGCCCTCACCCTGAATCTCGAACCCCGGACTCGTCCTAAAAGAATGAGAATATCGGGGCCTAAAGAAGTACCTATACTAATTTTGGGGTTCCTCAATGGAATTATAGTACTAACCATCAAGGCCTCTATGTTGCTGCCCGACGTTTGAACTGGTCCTTGCGTCCTTATGAAGATAGCGACGGTGCTTTGTGCTCGGAGGGCTCGGGGATGTCTGGCCATTTGGGCCCAATTGGGGCTGATGATGTTTGAGGGTTTAGGCGGTTTAATCCACAGATCTTCCCGGTGTCCGGAAAGTAATTACCCAAAGGGTCCATGTACCCAAATAGTATATACTTTGGCCTTAAAGTGTTCCCTATATAGGTACTTTGGGGCCAAATGTACATACTATTCGGGTACATGGACCCTTAGAGTTAGGTGTTCCCATGATATAAGAAAGAGTGTTGGGTCGTGTTTGTTTGTTGCTGGGTCGTCTTTGTAAGCACGGTGCTGGGACATGCTGTTCGCTGGGTCGCTCACGAACACATCGTCTCATTTGGTTGGAACACCTCCACGCCGAACATCAGAAATAACACAACCTGATTTTCGGTGTAGGGTTTGCAGTGTAGGCTTTAGGAGTTGGGTTACGGTTTTTAAGTGGTGAAAACTATGGTTGTGTCTGGTTGGACTGTCATCTTTCTGGTAGGATACGCGGTTGCCAAGGGGACGCCGTGGCTATCAACAGCAGCTGCATTACGTGGATTTGACAAGCTAGCTAGCGGGGCCTTCAGCTAAAAGTTTACAAACCCTGCAGGCCTTACGCCCTACCGTAGCGACCCTAAACCCTACAACCCACAATCGAGTTTAACTAGTTTCCGAACCCGATATGAATTCCTATATCTGTGAAGCAAAATCAGCTCCCATATAAACAATCCAACGATAACGATGCAGAAAGCAGATAGGTTTCTGGCTCTGGCAGAAAACGTTCGAGTTCGGTGTTTCTTCGGTTAGTTGGGATCTCCATTCGCTTCTAGACTGGCTTTAGGGGTCCCAAACCCTGCCGAGAGCTTAAACCAAAACCCCAAACTCGTACTACACGCTAAACTCCAAAACCAAATCCTGAACCCTAAGCTGTGCGAGGCCGATTGGGCTTAGGGCCTTACCTATAGTCTCCATTGTAATTCCTTTTTTCAGTTCACCAGTTTTATGGTTAGGAATCTATAATATAGTTTTTGGTCAACCAAACAAAGGAACTACAATTGAGACTATAGGTAGGTTTTCGGGTCTAAACGAGCGTGACAGATGCAGCTCCTTACCTCACGCGGTCATAGGACCTGAAAAAGGAGGGGTCGAGGTCAAGGGTTCAGGATGGAGATGTTTTGGGTGTACTTGGAATGTCGGGGGACTTGGTGAGTAGGTACTAAGTCACTTAGTTTAAGTAGACTTACAAGTACCTTAAAACGGGTTCTTAATCTACAAAAATACCTATGTGGTTGTCAAAATTAGGGTCCCTTTTTGGGTCCCTAATATAATACGGCACCGAATATTTAGGGTACCCAAAAAGGGACCCTAATTTTGACAACCACCCACCTGTTACCAAGTCCCGGGACCCTCCAGGTACTTGGAGGATCATGGGACTTAGTAAGTAGGGTTATAAGTACCTTCATTTGGGTTATAAATAATTATAAGTATAGTTACCCTAATTATAACCCTAGTTACTAAGTCTCATGACCCTTTAAGTAGCGTTCAGGGCCCTGCGGGTCGCGGGTGTTGGGCCGGTTTGGGGGTTTAGCGTTTTTTCTAGGTGGGGCTTTGGGACATTTTATATTTGCTCTTATTGGGCTTGAGAGCATCTTACCTACTAACATTTTTCAAAGGCTTTAAAAGCACCTCCTCGTTTTTTCATGGTGTTTATCGTAGAATGGAGCAGTTGGAACATCAGTATCCTCATGCCCCTAGGTAGAGTATAGGGAATCCCAGCACTTAAACCACGTTCCAAGTTTCTGGGGTTCACTGTAGGGTTTGGGGTTAGAAGGGGCCCCCACGCTGTAATAGTGACTATAAGGGCTATATTAGGGCCCTATTATATTCCTGGTTTGGGGTTTAGGATTTAGGAGTCTTGGTTGGTTGATTCAAGGATTTAGATCCTGGAGCTTGGGGCTGAGGTCCCAGGGGTTGGTTTAGGGTTTGGGGTTTGGGGTTTAGGGTTTGGGGTTTGGGGTTTAGGGTTTGGGGTTTTGGGTTGAGGGTTTAGGGGTTTATGGGGTTTAGGGTACCCACATAGTAGAACGTAGTGCTGTAGGGTTTCCATATTCGGAACTACTATTATGATTTGGGGAAGTATCCCCCATAAGAGTCACTAGGAGCCTTTGGGTAATTATCGGGTTGATTCAGGGGGTTTGGCGGTTTAGGGGGTTGGAGTTGGCGTTTTCGGTTTAGAGTTCACGGCTTTGGGGTTTGGTGACTTAGATATGGGCTTTCGATATACAGACATTCCCTCTACTGGTGTCTTCTCGGACACCCTTTATCTTAAACCCTAAATTCGCAAAACCCCACATACCCGATTTTACCGTAAACCTTACATCGTTCTTTCAAGTTTTTCTGTTCCTGTTGAATGCGAGCCCTCCAGCTGCCGCGCACAGTTGGGCGACCCAGAGCTTCGATACTGGATTGATTATAGGGTTGGCATCAGACAGGTTTAAAGCAAGTTAAAGATTTTTTGAGGGTTTAGGTTTCGGTGTTTAGGGTTTGGGTGATATAAATGCAGGAAAAACCAGTACTTTTCCGGAACGTTTCCTTATCATGTTCATGCTGTTCTATGCCACAAAACGCTGTCCGACACTACCTCAGTTTGAAGTTGATTTGATAAACAGGGCTTGCTCACAGCCCTGACAGGCATTTGGAGACCCCAGCCACTAAATCCTCTAAGCCTCAGGGAAGCTGAGGAGTACTCCTAAACAACATCAGGGGTCTTGGATCCCTCAAAACCCACACCCTGAATCTAAAGCCCCAGGTTTAGGGTTTGGGGGTTTAGATCTACCTCAACCCTCCAAAACCAGGAAACTCGAAGCCCTAAACCCTAGAATTTTATGTCTTGGCCCTGCCGCAAGCCCCAGCTCCTGAAACCCTAAACCCCTAAACCCTAAAACACAAGTCCCATGCCCTGAATCCCAAGCTCTGAACCGCAAGGCCTAAGAGAGTCGTCTGAGTGATCAGTTCTCATACCCCCCTTTACCAAGAGGCTCATACCCCACCCCTTTTTTAGGGCGCCTACATTTTACGATAACAGATCCTGACCATAAAACTAGGTATCCTAAAAAAGGGGTAGGGTATGAGCCTGTGGGTACAGTCCCTTGTCATGTACAGTGTTGTTTAGATACTAACCAAAGCCCTAAACCCCAAGACACCAGGCTTCAGGTTAGAAGATCTGGGAAACTCAACCCAAAGCTGTGAAGTGTAGCGGATGCCTATGGTGCCCGACAACGACTCGAAAGAAGGTGGATGGTTTGTAGCTTTGTGCCGTTAGGGATCAGACGGGACTCTTGGCTTCTGCTACGTGGGATTGGTCCCATTTTCAATTCGAGCCGTGCCGATGCGCGCTGCTCTTGTTGTTCGAAATTGAAGGTCCTGTTCCGGCTCTGACGTCTCAGACTTAATCCCGAACCCCGAAACCCTTACAAAAACCCTATTGTTCGAGGTTCTGTTTGGTAGTCTGACGTCTTGCAAGGGCCTAGCAATTCATTTGAGGAACCGCTCAGATGTTTGTGGGCTGTTGCCAGGTGGCCGCTCCCGAAGTTAATCGACGACGTTGACCTTGTGGTTGAAGCTTCCTATCGTGGCTCCATTAGGGGTTCTGTAAGGTTTTAGTTCGGGTTATAGGGTTGAGGGCTCTAGGTAAGGATCTATCTTAACCCCAAATAACCTACCTGTTTAAGGACTTAAATAAGGAACTCATAATGGGGAGCCCTAAAAAACCAGGTTCTTTAGGGTCTAGGTAGGGTTTAGGTCTGTGGCTTCCAAGAGACTCTAAGAGCTCTTTTGTGTCTTGGAGCAAAATGCTCAGGGCAGAAGCGAAAACACATAAAACTGCGCACCCTAGACTGATAAACAACTATTAAGGCTTTAGGGTTTTTAGGGTTGAGGTTTATAGAAATTGTTGATTCAGGGCTTGGGTGCCAATAACGCTTTGAGCGAGACGCTTTGAGCAGGTTTTCTGACTGAAACCTGATTTGGGAATTGGGT